CATTTGGTGATCTATCTATTAAGGGACCCCTTCTTGTTATTCATTGATTTATGTGGTGCAATTATATCAATGCTTTCTTTTTCTTATATTTTTTCGATGTGGGACAAATTATTTGATGGATCTAGCTCCGTTGGGTCAATATTTTGGGTCTTAGAGTAGGATATCCATAAGTATTATTTGCCCCCATTTGGGTTTGGGCCTATTTTTTATAAGGCTGCACGTCTTCAGACTCTCAAGGTTCGAGGATTTAATGTTCCTTGGCATTTTTTTATGCCTTAGAGGAATTTATAGATATCTTCGAACTCTTGAGGGCTGAGGCTGTAACATTCATCGGCATTATTTTATGCCTTAGAGGAATTTATTGATACATTCGGACCTTGAGGTCTGAGGTTTTAGTATTCCTCGGCATTCTTTTATGCCATAAAGGAATTTATTGATATCTTCAGACTCTTGAGGTCCGAGGTTTTAGTATTCCTCGATATTCTTTTATGCCTTAGAGGAATTTATTGATATCTTCGGACTCTCGAGGTCCGAGGCTATAACATTCATCGGCATTATTTTATGCCTTAGAAGAATTTATTGATTCCTTCGGACTTTTGAAGTCCGAGGTTTTAGTATTCCTCGACATTCTTTTATGCCAAGTCCGAGATTTTAGTATTCCTCGACATTCTTTTATGCCTTAGAAGAATTTATTGATATCTTCGGACTCTTGAGATCCGAGGTTGTAACATTCCTCGGCATTATTTTATGCCTTAGAAAAATTTATTGATACTTTCGGACTCTTGAGGTCCGAGGTTTTAACATACTTCGTCATTATTTTATGCCTTAGAGGAATTTATTGGTACATTCGAACTCTTGAGATTCAAGGTTTTAGTATTCTTCAACCTTCTTTTATGCCTTAAGGAATTTATTAATACCTTCAGACTCTTGAGGTCCAAGGATTTAAAAGTGGGAGGAAGCCAAGAAAAATAGTAACCGTGACCTAGTTAGAATCCCAATCATTTGGTTGGGGCCATCATTCCACGGAGACTCTTTCCTTAGCGTCTACCTGTAGTGAGACTTGGTTATATTTACCGCTTATTTTTATCCAATGCGGGACAAAGTAAAGTAAGTTTATTTTGACTGGGTAATGTTCTAGACCTAAAAAGGAAGGATTATTGCAAAGAATGTCCTTTGGCATTAGGGTTTGGGCATAGCTTTCACTGAGCCTTCTTTTATGCCAATAGGCCTTCTTCGCAATATGACTTACTATTTCAATAAACTCATAAATGAAGAGAAGTTAAAAAGCTAATTTTCCCGATGTAGGATAAAATGGTACTAAAAGAGTTTTTATTTTTTGTACGAGGAAGGGATGACATTTTCCATTCAAAATATCATTGTGTTTTTTGTAAAATAATACTTAGTACTGCCCCCAATTAAGGAGGGAAAATGTCACTTCCTTATTTAAAAGAAGGGTGAACTACATTAAACCCCATTTTTCTATCTGTGTTTTTCACTAAACCCCCATTTTCTATTTTTTTGTCAATAAACCCCCCTCAACTATTAGAGGGGGTGATTTAACTAACGGAAGTTAGCTGAAAGGGAGTTGTTTGGGCATTTAGTTTCTCATATATTTTTTAGACAAAAATATCCTTGTACCTATTTTAATATACCCTCACATATATATCTACTCCATTATCACTATTAACCGTACACGTACTCTTCCATCATTATAATATTATATATAATTTGTATCATAATATAATGGTATATATAATATGTACCATTAAATATTATTTATACTATATTTTCATTTCCATCCAGCCTTCAGACCAATATAAATCTAGGTTTTTTCTTGAAATTTATCTTATATATATATATATATATATATATATATATATATATATATATAAGAATTATATTGTGCATTTATTTATTTGGTTTTTATTAATTTTCATTTTATATAGTTTTATTAAAGGGACACTAAGAGAAATAATGCCTAATTTTTTTCCCTTTTTCTATTAATATTTATGCCTACATGTTTTCTTCTTCTTTTTATTTTTTTATATTTCAATATCATTTTTTTTTATAAAAAAATAAAAAATTCCTTCCATGTGACTAATGTGAACTTGTCAGTTTAGTGAAATGTTAAAACAAAAAACAAACATGTGAATGATGTCGTTTAGGTTACTTAATAAATAAAAAAATAAGAAGCAAATTAGATTTTAAAATAGGTTTTAATGAGTATTTAAGTCAATTTATATTTCAGTTCTCTTTCAACTAACTTCTGTTAGTTAAATTACCCCCCTTGAATAGTTGAGGGGGGTTTTTTGTCCAAAAAAAATAGAAAAATGGGGTTTAATGAAAAATACAGATAGAAAAAGGGAGTTTAATGTAATTCACCCTTAAAAGAATGATCTCCATATTTGTTTGAATAAGGCACACTATTTACATATAGAAAAATGTAGAGGTGCAACAAGTTGCAATAAATTCTTGCAAAGATTTTATTAAAATGATCACAAATGACCTTATTGAATGAAAAATAAAAAGGAATTAGCCAACTAACTCATACTTAGTGATAGTACCTTTTAAGATGTATTACATTCCATGGTCGTGCAATTGTTCGACCATCCCTTTCCGCAAGCCTGTAGGCCCCTCTTCCCACAGACGGTGCCAAAGTGTACGAGCAAAAATTCGTCAATTATAATAAATTGAAGAATAAAAGCAAAACACTCAAACTAATAAAAACAATGCACAATAGATACTTAGAGAAATTTTTGATATCTTTCATTGTAGGCTCATGCCTCTATTTATACAAGAATAGATGACAAAATTATGGTAAGACTCACCTATCTTGCCTAACTTGTCTTATATATTTTGTTCCATATAAAGATATCTCTCTATTATGAGTTCTTTCCTTATACAGATTAATTCTTCCATGTGAGGCTTTTCTCCTATACAAAGTTCTTTTCTTATACATATTGATCCGATTGTAGCTTGGACAATGTCTATCCGAACAATATCTTTAACTGAGAACAGATTAAGCCTTTCCTATAACGAGCTGACAATGTCTTTTCTGGGCTGGATCGAACTGGGCTTTGAAAGTCATACAGCCCAAAAATGGAGTTGTAATTCATTGATGATGTGGCAGGTTCTTATTGGTAAGGAGAGTTTTCCCACCACACTCACTAGTTTAAAATATATAGAAAATATCAGTAGTCCACAACATAATTCAATTTTATTATATATTCCTTGTTTATTTTTCAACCCATCCTTATTTTCTTTTTATAAACTGAGTAACTAGGTAGTTGTATTGTTTTCAAAAAATTATACTCTATATTATATGACTCTCAATACAATCAATTTTACAAACTCACTGCATCCAATAAATATATAAATATATATATATATATAGACCTTCCAAGATTTTAGATTGTTTTTCTTCTTCGTCGTCGAATGGTTAAAATTCAACTCCAAGTTTTGTTGTGTTGTCTTAGTTTCTCAATCCTTGTAATCTGAGAAATTAATTAAGTATAAGATTATCTTGTACTAATATTATGAGAATTCTAGCTTGTACTTAAAATGCTTTATGTTATTCGGACATTCTTCCCCTTGGAGTTTGGAAACGATGTGGACCGTGTCCAAAACAGCATTTGGCATAGAGTCTCAAATCTTCAGAGCTATTAAGGGTGAAGGAATTCAATATGCGTAACTCTTCCAACTTCTTTGCTGGCTTTTTCCTTCCAACGTATGTTGTCACAGCCGAGAGCCACAGCTCCTAGAGATTGATTATATGTTAATCAATGGCAAGAGGTTTCCATGGTTGGTTAGCAACGGATAACATCTTACCTCAACTGCTTGCAAAGTAGTAGTTATATATGTCTATGTATTCATTGTAGGACCATTTCTTCCATTTCCTTATTGTTCAATTAATTCATTTGAATTCAAAAAAAATATATATATATCATTAGTAAAAAAGTATTCGATGGTTCAGATTCAATGTCCATTTGCTCTGGACATTCTGATTATCAAAAAAAAAAAAAACAAATTTCAACGTTGTACTTTTTGGCTGAGAAAAATATCAGGGTTGGTCCGTGAATTAGTGGGCCCTGGACATTTCGATTATCGAAAAAAAGCAACTTTATCTTTTATTTACAGATTTATGTAGTGGATAAATCATGAATTTGAAAATCATTTTTATGCATAAAAAGTTTTAATGTGAAACTTTTTGAGTATTTAGGTTTGCTTTCTCCACAAGTAGATTAAAAAGGTAGAGCCACAAAATAGTTTCTATATCCGTCCATATGTAGATAGTATCATATCTAGATATGTCTATGTATTCATTGTAGGACCATTTCTTCCATTTCCTTATTGTTCAATTAATTCATTTGAATTCACAAAAAACATATATATATATCATTAGTAAAAAAGTATTCAATGGTGCAGATTCAATGTCCATTTGCATGGTTTGACATTGATTTTTATTGCTACATAATACATGGTAGATTCAAGAATTGTTAGGTGTACGTTTGAGAACTTTGTTGGGTTTTTCCAAATGTTGTACTTTTTGGCTGAGAAAAATATCGGGCATTGGTCCGTGAATTAGTGGGCGCTGGACATTCCGATTATCGAAAAAAAGCAAATTTACCTTTTATTTGCAGATTTATGGAGTGGGTAAATCATGATTTTTATGCATAAAAAGTTTTAAAGTGAAACTTTGAGTATTGTTAGGTTTGCTTTCTCCTCAAGTAGATTAAAAAGGTACAGCCACAAAATAGTTTCTATATCTGTCCATATCTAGATAGATATGGTAGAAGATATAGATTCAACATCTTAAAGGAAATTACAACAGTTCTAATATCTAGATAGATATGGTAGAAGATATAGATTCAATATCTTAAAGGAAATTACAACAGTTCTAAAGTCTCTTCGTAACCTCATAGTCTCCATTTCTTTCTTGTGTATTATGAATCAAAATTAAATCCAGAGAAAACAACCAACACCTCATAGTCATATTATGATTACATTGTGTACCTGCAAAGTGGACAAGCATTGGCGTGTTTAAGCCACTTGTAAATACAGGGTCCATGGAACTGGTGCATGCAGCCCATAGCACTGGCTTCTTTCCTGACCTCCATCTCATCCTGACACACCCCGCAAATGTGCCCTTCTTCCTCCAACGCCACTTGCGTCAACCTCTCCAGCACCGGATCGATGGTTTCCGCCAAAATTCTCGCTAGTTGAACTGAAACTTTATCCTCGATCTCTGTCAACACCTCATTGAAGTCTCGACCCGTCGCCTTGGCTCGCGACATGGCCAACTCAAATTTCTTGCGCTCCAAGCTTACCAGTTGTAGTTGCTCGTTAGATAGCTTTGGCCCCGAGTTCTGCCAACGAACATGTCCGTTGCCAGGGCTTTCGCTGTCGCCGGAGTGTTCCAGTCCGTTGATAATATCAGCCCAATTTCTTGCTATATCAATTTCTTCCATGGGACGGACACCAAGACTAGTGATATATATATATAGAGAGAGAGAGAGATTTAGAGGGAGAAGTTGAGCAGAAAACAAAGATTAATTTCTAAAATTGAGAAGCAAAGAATGGGTTTTATAGATTGAAAGTCGGTGACTGATATGGAGGCACGAGGAGTTTGAATATATAGAGAAGCCAATAATAGAAAAAAGCGTTGAAAAACAGTCGTCTTGGGAAGGTCTTATGAAGCTGGCTGGGCTTGAGCTGTGGGCTCTTATTTTCTGGGCTTGGTCTGTGGGTCTCTAACAAGTTATTTATTGGCCCTGGAACGGCCTTTTAATTATTGGTGGACTTTCAGGAGCTCTCAACTGAATTAAAAAATAAAAAATATTATGTTTGGAAGAGTTATTTTCAGAATTGGAAGAAATTTAATTAAAATTTTAAATTAAATTTTTTAAAATTTAAAATTCAAAGCACTAATTTAGTGCTCTCAAATGCAACAACCTAATTTTTTTTTTTTTTTTAAACAAATTGCAATTCTTGAGAATCCAAATCAAGTAAAACCAAAGGGGAAAAAACATAGTTAAAATCCTAGAACAATTGATTATAAATCCGAACAACTAAAACTAAAGGGGAAAAAAATAATTGAACTAAAATCCTAGACGGGGGGAATTGAACACACATTCTGAACTTTAATCTCAAACTGAGTTTCTGCCAACACGTCCCAGAAGTACCGGCTGGCCCCTTTGGTTCCGGACATGGCTAACTAGTCGGAGAGCATGACATTATGTTTAAAGTCTCAAGGTAATTTGGTAAAGGGTCCATATTATTTTTTTTAATAATATGTCAATCAATGAATAATTTAAGAAAGGTAAATAGTTAACAAAATTTTTTAAAGGAAATATTCTTTACTCACACACATATTTATAAAGGGTATACATATGATTCATTATAATAAAGATACGAAAGTGATATATGATTCATTACAACAAAGATACAAAATTGACAAGAGTAATAAAAATGATTTATTATCCTCATCGTCCTTCTTAATTTCCTATTATTTTGAATACTATTTGATATGGTGAATTTTTCTCATTTTATTCAAGAAAAGTGGAGAGTTGTAATGAAATTAATCAGCTGTTACTGATTAGGACTAGAGTAGTATATACACTATCATCAATGACCCTAATTTTATTACTAAACACTTCAACAACCACACCAACAACAACAGCTTTCTTGTGTTGACAGAATTGCCTACAAATATATTTTAATTTTCTGAGTGTATCACATACTAGTAGTAAGTATACGGTGGAAATGGTGGGGCCAACCCATGTTTTAGACTTTGTGACCCTTTAAATTAAATGTCCACTCATATATAATTTATCAATGGCTCTACTTAATCTATATTATTTTATGAGGATTGAGGTCTAAATATCAATAGAATTGATTTGTGGATATGGGTGGCTTTGAAGAGAAAGGTGAACCGATAGTTTGTTTTCATCACTCTTCAAGCCTTGTGGTAGAGAAGTAAGAAGTTTTGTTAAATTTAGTTAAAACTAGCATATTGATTAATTGTTACTTGTTATATTTCTTGTTATTAATGAAGTTATTATTAATTGTTTGTGTATGCTGTTTGTTGGATTAATAACTGCTAGCTAGTATACTTCTTCTTGTTATCTGTCTTTTTCTTCACCCTTTATTGTCAGACTAGTTAGGACGTGATCAATCATGGTCAATTTTAAGTTTGTGTACACAGTTAGATTAATGAAGTTATTATTAATTGTTTGTGTATACTGCCAAAGATGGCAAGAGAAAGTCTCTGTATCTATTTCTTGTTATTAATTAAGTTATTATTAATTGTTTGGGTATGCTGTTTGTTGGATTAATAAATGCTAGCTGATATATTTCTTGTTATCTGTCTTTTTCTTCACCCTTCATAGTCACGCTAGTTAGGAGGTGACATATCATGGTGATAAATAATGGTGAATTTTAAGTTTGTGTATACAGTTGGATTAATGAAGTTATTATTAATTGTTTGTGTATACTGCCAAAGATGGCAAGGGAAAGCCCCTGGATCTGTTTGTTTATACGTAGTTGTGAATTTTTTTTGTAAGATAAAATAATTATGGATGTGCTACTTCTTACAACATAATTCATTAAAAAAAAAAAAAAAAAATTTAGTGAAGTTTATTGAATTTTCAAACATCATTTAGCATAAGTAATGACCTAATTACAAATATTTAATTCAGTTCTTTATTTTAAAAGGCATGGTTACTGTATGTTTTACTAAATTAATGAATAATGATGTATTTAATTATTAAATACATAAAAATTCATACCATATTATATGTGAAAAGATAAAATAAGAAATATATATATATATATATATATATATATATATATATATATATAATATTGTCTTACACAAGATAGGGAAAGAAATAATATCATGTGTAGATGTTGTGAGTCTGAGTTGTAGAGTGAGAAGAAAGAGGGAAATAATGGTAATTGTACCTATGCGAGGGTCAGTTTTCAAAAGTAATATAAGAAAGTGAGTTAGTTAAATTTAGATAAGACAGTTGAAAAAGAGATAGTGACCTTACTTAAAATGGATTAATTAAATGTTAGATATATATATTTCTTGCTAGCTTACTTTTTCTTCACTCTTTCTAGTCACACTAGCTAGAACGTTATATATCACGTGATTTTGAGATTAATTTTTTATTTCAGATATCAACCTCCCTTTTTGAGATGTCTATCGTCTTATTCTCTATTCAAAATGATGATACTAGAATGAGGGGAAAACCGTAATTGAGTCACTCAAAGAAATTTGAACTCAATTTTTTTTTTCTTTTTCTTTTTTCTTTCAGAAGTTCAAGTAAGTGAAGACATATTCACTATATATATTTGTATATTAATTCCATTCAGTTGTTCCTGATGTACGGAGAGCAATATATACAATTTTTATTTCAACTTCAAAATCACTCAATTTGAGTGTTTTAAAGAGAAAAAAATTACATAGAATAAGGAGATATTAATTAATTACTCTAGACATACATTTTTTACTTATAAAATACTTTATCATTGGAAAATAATACTAATAATAATAAAAAAAATTAAATATAAAAAAGATTCAAACTCTCAACCTCTTCTTTAAAATAAATAAAACTGAACTAATCCATAAAAAATAAAAATAAAAAATATTATTCTTTCCTAATACATATATGGCTATTCAGAGCCACCGCAAAAACTTTAAATTAAATATTATAATAGTGTAATTGAAACAAAGAACGTGTTATAGTTTGGAATAAAAACCTATGACACCGATTACAATTATTGAAATATTTATAATAGCATTATTAGCATATCATTAATGTCCTATATATTTTTGCCTTTTTCTAACCATATTTTTATCATGCACTAAAGCCCTAAGAACTGGAGTTTCAATATGTTATTATCTTAGCGTTTTTATGCAAATTAGCAGCTTGAATTCAAAGAACAAAGGAAAGGGAAACCATTAAAGATCATATCATACATTTAAGTGATTAATAAATAAATACTAGTAATTCATATGCATATTGTTAGTATTTTCTTTTTCTTCACAATTTGAAAAGTATAATGGAGATCACTAGGGTAGCTCTTGGCAATCTTTTGTTCACTTTAGGTTAATTAATTTGTACAATTTTTACTTCTTTCGTAAGTAAGTAATTTTTTTTATTTTTTATTTTTATTTTATATAATACAATCTGTTTGGATAACTAAGAGTAAAAAGAGAGGAGGGAAAAAGTATCAATTGAATTGATTTGTGGATGTGGATAGTTTTGAAGAGAAAAGTGAACCGTTGATTTGTTTTCATCACTTTACAAGTCCTGTGGCAGAGAAGTCATAAGAAGTTTTGTCAAATTTAGTTAAAACTAGCATATTGATATAATAATGAAGTTATTAATATGGATTAAAATGGGTACAATTTATTTGTTGGTCCAGCCTTTTTTTTATTTCAATGACAAAAATATCATGTCTACCTATCACTATCGGTCGGTCTATCTATATATAGATAGGCGTGAGTAGTACCAGAGGCGGAGCTAGGATTACAAAGTAGGGAGGGCTAAAAATAACTAGACCCATGATTGCTTAGTGTGTCATCCATACTTTAAATACATAATTATTATTCGTCAGTTATTCAATTAAACCTAATAATTTACAACCTTCTAACACATTTACACTTCCAACTCTAACGTATTTTCACAAGTAAGAATCCATTAAAGTTTGCTTCATACAAGTATTAAAATAAACAATTACAAGAATGTAAGATATATATGTTTCTTATCAATAAATTCACATTAGAAAGTAAGACGTATGTGCTCCGCCCCTGACTAGTTATTAATCCATTATATAATAAATTACCCAATTTAACAAGAAATTACCCCCCCTTTTTTTTTTGCAAAAATAAAATTCAATATTTCACTGGATTAACAATAATAATTCATGATATCCATCCACCTATGGCTTAGTACCTTACACACGAAGAGTTTAGATCTTCTTCAATAGACTAACAATGTGTTATTATATTTTATTATGGTTTATTTTGTGATCGGACATGTCCATGGTTTGTGGGTTTTCTCATATTTAAGGCTTGACCTTTGTAAATTTTATAACTCTTTTTATTTATAGAAATATTATGGATTGGACTGGGCTGATAGGAAGAGGAATAGTAATATACAGACTTATAGAAACAATAGTACTAAATTTTTTTTTTCAATTGGACCTGGGCTATAGCCCAGGTTAGCCCATTACTAGTTCCTCCCTTGAGTAGTACTAGAGTGAGGAGAAAGAGCAAAAAAATTAATAATAATACTGATAATGATCTCTCTCTCTCTCTCTTTTTTTTTTTTTTTTTTTCGAATATTAATAATGATCTTTCATTTTTAAGAATATAATGGGTACAAAAATGAATGGTAATTACAATTAATGCAAGGTCAATGTAACGAGAACAAAAGTAATGATTTTTATTTATTTTTTT